CTACTTTATATAAAGATCCACCTCAATGATGTTCAACCCAACAAGAATGAAAAGGTTTAGTCCAACACACAGATGAAATCAAACAAGCACGAAGATCAAATTTGAAATCAATTAGTAACAACATATATGAAATTGAACCGGGTAATTGCGATGCAAAAAAACTTTGTATAGGAACGTGAACAGAACACATGTGTAATAAAACCATCAACACTGAACATGACAAAATCGAAAAATCAACCACTATGCGCTAAGCATCACGAAATCAAAACGAAACAGATGGAGCTTCAGAGGAATTTAGTGGAAACACTAGAAACAAATTGAATACGAGTTTCTTTTTTATGTGGTCAGAAACTCGATCAGAATGAACGCCAATTGTGGATTAGGGTTTTTATGTTGTAGCCATGATGTGATTCTTCATCTTCTTCCTATTCAATGACAAATTTTAAATAAAAAAAACAACAAATTTGTGTTTTTTATTGTCACTAATTAGTGGCATGATACACGGTGGCATAAATATAGCTTAATATTTTTTTGTTTTTTTGTTGACATGTTTTAATTTCGGAGTTTATTTTGGTCTATTATTTTTAAAAAATATATATTAGTTTTTTTAACTTTTTAAAATATTTTATATTATTCTTTTTGTTTTAACAATTGAATTTTGAATTTTTTTTATCATTAATAAAAAAAAGTGGCTAATATGAAATTTTTTGAAAAGTTAAAGACTAATATAAATTTTTTTAAAGTAAAGAAACTAAAATGAATTGCAAAGTTAAATACGAAAAAAAATATATATATTAAGTCCATAAATAACTACATGTAAGATCAAATATTGCCCGCCATTGCCATTTATTATCAATCAATGGTTATGAAACTAAAATAAAATTGGGTATCAGATACGAAATAAAAAAAAAGTTATTAAACCTAAATTATTTTAAAAGAAAGTTTTTCATATTTTTCAATATAAGAGATTAGTTTCAAGATAGTTGCAAAATTGAAAGAAGACCAACAAAATCTTAAAGAAAGTAATATATAAGTAAAATAATATTTTTTGTCCCTTAACTTTAGGTCGGGATCCAGTTTGATCCCTTAACTTTAAAAAGTAGTAAGTTGGTCCTCTAACTTTTAAAATGATGTCACGTTTATCCTTTCGTCCGTTGCTATTACTCAAAGTTTAAAAACAGGTGCCACGTTTGTCCAAGTGGACTTTATGTTGTTGACGTGGATATAAGACGTGTTAAAACAAATCCAAGTGGAACTTGCTTTCCATTACCCAGATTATCAAAGGATTGCAGTTGTGTTAGGGGTAAACTCAACGAAGTTGTGTTAGGGTAAATGCAAGGGATTGAAGCGACGCGTTGAGGGCACAAAGGATTGTTCCAAACGCGAAGGATTGAAGACGATTCAAGGAGTGTTTATCAAAAGATTAGTTCATTTCTTTCTGATTTAGGATTTACAAATGTCGTAGAGCAATATCAGGTTATGTTCAGATAAGGGTTTATGTAAATTTTTTAGTGTAAACTCTAATTATTTAGATAATATGATTAGGTATCATGGATGAATACATAAATCTCAAAATTCATCATAGTGGTGAATTCACCGATGAAGGTCTTGGTGTATATGAGAATGAAGTAGTAGATGATTTGATAGTAGATGTAGACAAATGGAGTTATTTTGAGCTAGTTGGTGTATTGAAAGACTTGGGTTATAGGGAGTTTAAAACAATATATTACAAGGACCCTCAATTTGGAATGAATGCACTTGTTGATGACAAGGGTGCTTTAGAAATTGCAGATCTTTATAAGATGCACCAAAGTGTTGATATTTACATTCAACACACCTTGTCTCAACCTGACTACTGTGATGTTGTTGTTGATCAAGTTGATGAGGGCCCTACTGAAATTGTAGATGAGGTGGAGGAGTTACTTAGTCAATTGCATGATGAAGTTGTTGGAGTTGAACAAACCACTGTTGTGATGGAGGAAGGTGATGTTGTAGTTGATCAAGCCACTACTGGGTTGGAGGAAGGTAATGTTGGAGTTGATCAAGTTAATCTTGCAGTGGATGAACGTACTGTTGGAGTTGAGGAAATTAATGTTGGAGTTGAACTAGTTAAACCTGCTGGAGGAATGTAATGTTGGAGTTAAACAAGGTAAAGTTGGTGTAAATAATGATGACTTAAGTTCTGATGATAGTGAAGATGAGGACTACAATTATGATAGTGCATAGGAAGTGACTTTTGAGGATGAGTCTGATGGGTATGATGAGATTGAGGAGGATGAACTTGATACCCTAATTGGGTATGAAAATGATGGTAATGGAAAAGTCCAAGAACTTAATGAAAAGTCTGTAGAAGATAAAGGGAGTGACAATGACAATGAGGACATGCAAAGCGGTTGTGAAAGTGATGATAATAATGGAGTTCCAAAAAAAAACATTTAATTTTCAAACAGCCAAAAGACATGTCAGATTACAAGTGGGATGCGGAAATGTATTTTAGTTCAAAGGCTGATTTTAAGGAAGCAATAACATCTTATGCTGTGCAAAATGGTAGAGACCTAAGGTTTGTAAAAAAATGACAGAGTTAGGGTAAGGGTTAGATGTAAAGTTGGTTATGAGTGTGAGGCTTATTGTAGCAAGTTGTCAAATGAAGACACTTGGTAACTCAGGAAAGTAATTGACAAACACAGTTATAGTAGAGAGTATAATGTGAAGCTGATAAGTACAAAATGGTTGAGTAAAAGAATTCAGAATAGCTTGAAAAACAATCCAAGGTTGACCATAAAGGATATCAAGGAGAAGACAAAAAAAAAGGAATGTTGGGGTCAACAAAACCAAAGCTATAAAAGCAAGATTTGCAGCTAGACTACTCTCATGAATTGTTAAATATAGGTCACTCTCATGAACCGTTAAATATAGGTCATTGTGTGTTATGAAAACACTTTTGTGTTTGGAACTCATTGTGTGTTAAAAATCAGTGTTGAACAAATAATACAAAATTAGAGGTCATGCTCAAAATTACAGGTCATTCTCTTAACAGACCAAATATTGCAAAAGTAATATTTAACAAAACTTATACATGTTAAAATATTGCATTCATGTTAAATTGATACAATCCAACTATTGCATTCATGTTAAACCGATACAATCCAAAAGTTACAATCTTTAAAATATCATCATAAACATCAAATTCAAAATCTTTTTCCACTTCGTGATATAGGGGGTCAGAAAATCAAGCAACATGGTATTCATATGTAAATATAACATAATCTAATTTGAGAAATTTCATTACCTGCGGGCCACTGTTTGCATCAGAATCCTGCTCTATTGAACACTTGACCTGTTTCATTTCTTCATTTTCCATATGAGAAACTTATCATACTTTCTCCATAGTATGATATCTCGCGCAGATCTAAATAACAAATGGGCTTCTTACGCTGTATCTGGAAGATGGAAAGGTAATCATTCAAACAATATATAACTTCTCTAGGACATGTTTATCATGATATCACTCTTCAAGTACTAAAATAACCAATTCTTTCAACAAAGTGAGTAAAATAACTTAACATGTCTATGTATAATTCCTATTTACTTATCTCATAATGAAGAAATTAAAGTTCAGATTCTGTTTTGTAAGGGACAGATCCTGACATGCTTGAAGTTGGAAACGGAGGTATGACAACCGAAGAATTTCGTGCCCGTTTCAGCATATGGGCATTAGCTAAGGTAAGTTGAAACAATGAAACTTAATACATGTAGTCTAGATAACTACATTGAATTCATAATAATGTCCTCTAAATAAAATGTGCTCTATATAATAACTCCTCTACTTTTGCATATATAGCTCCTTTATTAATTGGTTGTGACATTCGAGCGCTAGATGGCACGACAAAGGAATTGCTAAGCAACTCAGAAGTTATTGCCTATAGTGCTGAGTTTTTTTACTATTTAGTTGAATTTTGCAACATCCAACACAATCATCAGTTTTGGGAAACATATCTGCAGAATTAGATTCACATGCTTGTAAGATGTATATCTTGACTCCCAACTAAGTTCTCGATATATTGCCGACAGAAAAGGAGGTAAGCAACCAAAGTCAGTAATATCATAAATGCATTGGCAATCATACTAGGTTTCACAAAACAAAGGAGAAATGAATAAAAAATTTATCAGTTCATAGAAAATGCAGAAACAAATGAATAAATTATATTTCGAATAAGGTTTCCATTTTAATCTATACGTTTACATCTACTCGATCTCAATATGATAGGCCTTTAAAACTTTTGTTTCCGGTTAACAATCTAGAATGTTTTCTAGATATCCACGTTGTTGAAGTGTTCATCTATAACCAAGTTGTGCACCTATATCAACAGATATACACTTTCAAATATCTTTGAGAAAACCTTCTAGCATGACCTTTAACTTTCTGTTCGAACTACAAAAAAATCTGCCAAACATAGAGGGCAATGTTGCTAAATCTGACTGTCAAAGGCAGTAATTTGGTTTTAGAAAAATCGAATGAGACAATAAAAAGTCTTACATGTATTAGTTTGAGTATAAAGATATAACAAATCAACAGTGAAAAAATATAAGCATCAGGCGCATCAAAACAATACTATAATAATGTGGGGTAGAATCACAATCATTACCATCCAAGGATCCAGATTTTTCAACTTATACTAGTTGCATAAAATTGTAGTTTTATTTATATTTTGGCTTCCTTTACTCAATAAGGGGAAATGACCAATCCAATCACATTCTAGAATGCTGAACTAGTTGTCATGAGCCTTTAGCTAAAGAGCATAATTTCAATCACACCAGGAAAAATAACCAATTCAGTTAAAGAGCATAATTGCAAGCTCAAGCCCAACTAATCATGAGCCTTTAGCTGTTAACACAGTTAACAAAAGAAACAACAATAAGTGAGGCAGGTACATATATTAAGTGATGCAATAATGTTTATATATAAATTCAAAATAAAAACATCCAACCAAGTTTTAATCTTACAATAGACCTCTAGCAATCATTTCACAAAGAAGTTTCTCTGCTTTATCATTTTCATTATTTTCAAATAGAGAAGAAATAACTATGTCATAAGTTATAGCATTTGGAAGGCAACCACTGTCTTTCATTTTTGACAGCCAGGCCATCGCTTCATCAAACAAGCCCTTGTCGCAAAACCCTTTGATCATAGCTGTATATGTATAGACATTTATATCATAGCCTTTGAGCAAAAGATCTTCAAAGACGTTTCGTGCATCCACTAGTCTTCCACTTTTGCACAATCCCTTGATAAGAATAGTGTATGTATACATATTTGGTTGAATACCCTCATCTTTAAACTTTGTTAACAATGCCAGTGCCTTATCAACTTGATGGTGATTGCATAAAGCATCCAATATAGAACTGTACGTAATTATATCAGGTAGTTGACCTCTATCACACATCTCATCTACAAGCTCCAAAGCATACGAGATTCTTCCCAATTTGCACAAGCCATCAATAAGGGAACTATAAGTTATCGTATTGGGAATAATTTTTCTACAATGCATTTCTTTAAAGAGACTTATAGCTTCATCTACCATTTTTATCTTACATAATCCATTAATAATGATACTGTAGCTCCAAACATTAGGAGTTACTCCCCTTTGAATCATAGTCTTGAACATATCCTTTGCCTTGTTCACTTGATTTACAAGACAATATCCATCCATTAAAGAATTATACGTAACAACATCAAGTTTAATGTCTTTTTCAATCATCATACCTAACACATTTTGCGCTTCTTTCATGTTTCCTTCCTTACAAAAAGCATCCACCAATATATTAAAAGTATACACACCCGGGCTGATGTTTTCCAACATCATTTTATTAAACAAACCTATTGCTTCTTTCAATTTACCAACAACGCAAAAGCCATAGATTAATGCATTATAAGTGAAAACATTGGGAACTATTCTCTTAGCAACCATTTCAGAATATAAATCACATGCATCATTGACAAGTTTATCTTTACACATACCATCAATGATTGTAGTGTACATTACCACATTAGGCCGGACCAACTTTCCATCAACTCGTCTCAGCAACTGTAGTGCCGCTGCTGTCTGTCCCGCTTTGCATAAACCATTGACCAATGTCCCGTAACTAACATGGTTCAATCGAAATCCCTGAGCTACCACCTTGTCGTGAAATCGCAATGCTGTATGGATCTCGCCTTTGAGACAAAAACCCTTAATGAGTGTAGTGAAGGTTATGACATTTGGGAGATAACCCCTCTTGAGAATCTTTCCAAAAACAGAAAAAGCAAAAGTAATATGACCCAATTGAGAGAGAGAATTCATGAGGATATTGTGAATTACACAATCAGGAGTAACTCTGCTTAATTCCATTTGGTGAGAAAGGGAAACAACAGTAAGGTAGTGTTTGGCTTTGACAAGAGAACCTAAAATCTTGCCGAATTCAATGGCGGATGGGGTGGGATTCTTATGGAGCATTCGGTTGAACATGGAAACAACATCAACGTGATCATGAAAATGTTGAAGACAATGAGAGTATGGTCTTGAGTTAGGAATGGAGACAGAAACAGCGTACCTTAAAAACGACATTATTGTCCTGTCGTCGGCGTCGGAATTGAATTGTTACAATTAGGTTACGGATGTCAAAGAAAAATAGTGAATTAACATAGTAAGCACATAGCCCAATCAAAGCTATGTCTAGATATTTAAAGCCAAGACACCTAAATAAAAAAAGTGATAAAAGTCTAAAGACCATGGATATATTTACAGGATTGCTATGTTGACACCCATCTTTACACCCTACACCTCAATTACTGTTCACAAATACTTGAACAAATTCCCCAGAACATGGTTAATAGTGTATATTTTATTGGTTAATGAAGTAGTGAAAGTGGTTAATAAATTATAGGTAAAATAATTGGTTAATAATGTAGATTTTTGTGGTTAATGCAACTGTGAAGTTGGTTAATGCGCAATCTTATATTTGTGTTATAAAATAAATTTTAAAAATAAAACTTTTTTAAAAAAAAATTAATATTTTAAAAAAATATATTATTTTAATAAAAAAAACACTGTTCACCGTATAAATACGGTGAATAGTGCATACGGTGTAAGTATTGGGTGTAGGAAATGGTGTAGGAATAGCATTTTTCATATATTTAACTTGCATAGCATTTTCAGATTTTGTTTTTATAATAACCAACTATTATATATTATTTTTCAAAAAAACAAGATTTTCAAAAAATTTCTCATGACACAAATCCAGTATTCTATCGTCGGATAAAATGACGACAGAGTTCAAAGGTTTTTTTTTACTTTTAGAGAAGTCGCCATCTAGATTGACGACATTGTTGCTTTTATAAGGACTCACCATCTTGATTGGCGACACAGGCCATTCCATTAAAGTTTTCGTTTTTTCTGTTTTTATTAATATTAAGTTTTTATTAATATTATTAGGCCATCTTGATTGTTTTCATAATAAAATTAAGTTTTTATTAATATTATTAATATTTTTAATTTTTTCATATAATATTAAAATTAAGTTTTTAATTAATAAATTTAAAATAATTAGGTTTAAATAAAAATAATCTTAAATTAATTTACTAAATTTAAATTTAATTAAAAATAAACTTAAATTGGTTTTATAAATGTAGGTTTAATAAATTTAGGTTTAAATACAAAATAAAAATTGAGTGTTGATTTAATTTTAAAGCATATAAATTGATTTAAATTATGAATTTTAAAATATAAAAGTTGATTAACCATTGAATTTTAAAGTGTATAAATTTTGTAAGGGTATTTAAGACATATCATATGGGGCACATACTATTTTATTTTTCTATAAATACGACTGCAAACACATATATGTTTTCACAACATTGTATACCAAAAAACTGAATGCATTTTTAGTGGAGTGGAGTCTAGAATGTCTGCATTTTTAAATCAACGTTCGTCGTCGTCATCAGCATCGAAGGAACCATTTCCAACGTTCGATATAATGAAAAGAAATGCCCTAGTTGTGTTTTCAACAACAAAGCCTCCGATGAAGGTGCTCATGTGGAATACGCAGACGTTGGAGCACTTGCATAGGGAACTGAACCGCTGGCTAGAAGGAGATATTGGTCAAGGAGAGAAGATTAGGAAAATTGAGAGGTTGGTCGAGGAGACTGGGAGAAACGAAGTTACACGTGAATGGAGAAAAGTGGAAAATGATGTCGGTGTCCTTGTGAGGATGGTCGTGATATCGTAGACGCCTTGGTGCAGTGTCCTGTTTTATGTCTTTGCGTTGTTGTTATGTTTGTTTAATTTATGTTGCCTTGGTGCAGTGTTCTGTCTTTATGTTGTTGTTATGTCAGTTAACTATGATTCTAATCGAATGAAATTTGCTATTAATCGAATAAAATTTGCTATTAATCATCATAAAATTTTCTATTGATTTAAAGGGTCAAGATTACATATGAAACTATGATTTGCTGTTTGATCTTACGTTAGGGCATTTTGTACGATTGTGTCCTGGTTGTCGACACGAACTAGACAATCTTACCAGCTTGTTTGCGGTATCCATCTCTGTTCGAATGCGCGTACTGTTAGGCCGACCCTTTTTCTTTCTGCGCATCAAGTCATTATGACAAACAATTTCGCCTTCGTATTGAGGCCAATAGTCCTCCTTTGCCACCACCTGAAAGCTACAAGTGTAGATATTGCACAGACTTATCACTTGGTGAACTGCAGAAAGAAGGTTGGTTGGGTCCTAGCGCGCCTTCGAACATGCTGCTATAACATGAGAGCAAGGCATACGGAATGCTTGAAACTTCCCACAATCACACCAGCTCTTATCCAATTCAATACAGTAATACCCCCTAGGCCTTCCTTCATTGTGATCAATAAACTCGGCAACACTGAACCAACCAGTTGTACGGTCAAAGATTGTGACCACGTGTGTGTTGGCTTTTGCAACTTCCTCTTTCATGAATTTCATTGTAGTATTACTGTACAGCTGACCCGATTGTAATATTGAACCCCACTTCGTACGTCTAATATCAAAGAGTGATCCTAGCCTAAAATAGGTCGCCTTTACCAAGGCAGTTATCGGGAGGTTGTTGAAACAGGGATAGAGTATCGGGATTTGTTATCGTCCTCAGGGATTATGTGATATTGCTGTCGTTCGACAGTTGTTAAGTTCTTAACTTATAGTAACAAGGGGGTTTTAGTTTTCGGTTACGGTAGCTTGCATAAAAAGTAAGAAATTGCGGTAAAAGTTTTGGTTTTACGATTCGAGAAAGATTGTCAAAGTTAGGGTTCGACGATCACTTTGCATACATATGTTCGATCAAACAAAACTCATAAACTCCATTAGATGATAAACACATTCACAATATCCTCCCAATGTGATTATTTCTAACACACATTGTGATTTTTCCCATTTTAATCCATTGTTGATTTCTCACATAATCTATCAAAATGACAACTTTTAGGTTTGACATTTTAGTGAACAAACACATTCAAAACTATCTCTAACTCAAGAAAATAGATGGATGAAAACCTAGGTAAAAAGTTGGAAAACACCTTTCAATAATAAACCAACACAAAGAGTTATCAATAAAACAAGGTTTTACCATACATTCATCATCAAAGAGTTTACAAATGAAGATCAACCCATATACATACAAAGCTTATGATCATCTATATCTAACCTTGACAAAATGAAAGACTTAGTGTTGCGGTGAAAATTTGATATCAAGCTATTAATTAACTTGAACCTTATTTCTTTTTACAACCGGACTTTAATTTATCCAAAGGATAGGTCTAAAGAAAGAAAGAACCTTTTGCGCGATGTGACAACAACGCTTTTAAGAGATTCGGGGATTCGGGGGTTGGTTATATCTAGGGAAGGTATCAGCACCCTAAATATCTGTAGTACTCTACAGGAACCTTTTGTTTAATTACTTGCTAAGTTCGTGAATTGTGCTATGTTTTAAGTATTGGGAATTGAGATAAAATAAATAAAAAAGGGCCTAAGTGGTTTTCTAAGTTTGCTCGCAAAGGCATCGCACCTTCTGCCTACGTATCCTGACTAGGATAGAATCAGAGCAATCGTAGTTCACCTCACAAGGGGAAAGAACACTTGATGATGATCAAGGTTCAAGAGGGGAACAAACATGTCAATGTTTGTGTGGAGTTTGACAAAACTCCCTAATCTAGGTTGTAACAGGGGGAAGTAAGAAATCATGACGATGATTCTTACACAGAGTTAACGAACTCTTTCTTAGGGTTCTAGTTGCAGATCACTCCTAGTATGGGTGGTTTTCTTAGACTTCAAGCAAAGTCTAAAGGCTTCTAATCTAGGGTTGAGGTGACTTAACAAAGTCAAAAGGGTTAAGATTTTGGTCCAAGACATTGACAGTCAAGTGGACAGACCTTCCTTTGGAGGGAGAGATAGTGGGCAACTGGATGAAAGCTAACAAGCTTCATCACTTGGGGATAAAAATAAAATACAAACATCACACAAAAGTATTCATGGTGACAACCAATGAGAAATATTTAAGGATGAAAAAGCAATGGTGACAATCAAAGCAGATGATTAGTACGAAAACTGTGACGACAGATCGCACCTGGAGTACAATTAACAAACAGATGAGATGGGCATGATAATAATTCAAAGTAAAAATCCTAGCATGTTGACAAACATGTATAGGTGTGATAACAATCAATTTTTACAAAGAAAAACAAGTGGAACCCTTTTAACTTTCATCTGCAACAACTAGGGTTAGTACTGTCAATATGACAAGTTGCACATAGTCAAACATGGTGAAAAATTAATCAAACATGGAAAACAAAATTATGACATGAAAGTACACATTAAAACAAACATAATGAAAAAAGAATGGGTGAAAAATGATTAAAAAAATGAGAGAGTTATGATTTTTTAAAGTTTCATGTGAAAAATGAAAAAAAGTGGCAACAAGGGTTATCACCAAGGATCGAACCCATGCCAAGTCTAATACGCGCGCAAATCTCAACCGCTGGGGCGGCCATACGTCCATTAATAAATGCACAATGATAAATATATGATGTATGTCTTGATTTATGGCTGGGCAAAACATGGTTTCTATGGATTTGCAAAATGTCCATAACTTCTTCAATTTTTTGAGTTTTTGGACAAACCTTATATGCTTTTGGGGTAGAAAATCATGAGGAAGAGGATGGTGGTGTTGGTTCTTTGAAATCACTTTTCTATTGCAAAACCCGATAGGGTGTTTGTTTATGCTTTGGAAATGCAAAATGTCATGTACAGCTTGATACAATCATGTTACATGCCAACTAAATTCACATACACATCCATTATATGGTATATAAGCAAATGAAAACATGTTTATGGCCAGGATAAGTTAACTATGAAAAGTCATATTCAAATCGCAAATGATCATAAGGTATAGATGCATGACAGTATGGATTTCAAGTTCAAAGGTAATAATGATCAAAGCAATCTTGCATACACCTTTAGGACATGATATTAAGTGTGTGTGTGTGTGATAAAATCCAAACTGGAATCATCATGTGAATACTTGACTTTCAAAATGCATTTTGGT